TTCTGTGGTTCTGTGATGCCATCACAGATTCTGACCTTCCCTAATTCACTGCAGCTCTCCAAACAGGTCATTGCTGAATTCAGGCTTCTGTCACCCCCATTCCTAAAGACAGCCTTGTCCATGGCAGACTTGCAGTTAAAACTCCTAAAGGACAATTTGTTTTCCCAGGAATCACATCTTTGCTGCCCTTTGTGCTTATTGCAGTGGCACAAATTAAACCTTGGGCTCTTCAGCCCACACACAAGTGTCTGTGTTTTTGGTACAGTATCAGCTTATTTTGTATTTTTTATCAAGTAGCACAGACAACACAAGCTTTAAAAACTGTAGATCTCAGCACACATCTTATCTGCAGGGCAAAATAAAGGAGCTTCAAGAATATATCACCTACTTTCGTTCTGAAAGCCATCTAATTAAATTTTACTTGATGCTACAATTTTGTCACAATCAAACATGCTGAAAGGTGGATTTTTTAATGTTTTTTTTTTTTTTAGGACTGGTGGAATTCTCTGTGTGCTTTGGCTTTCCACTTGGGTAGCTGCTGCTGTTTGAGCATAGCTGGGTTGTGATGGCTGTGGGAATATTCATAAATTGCAGTGAAAGGCAGGTCCTGGAGCTCACCCCATGCTGGAATCTCTCTGGGAAGGGTGAGGACGTGAGGGTTTGCCCTGTGTGTGCCTGGGGGTGGCTGTGCTGGCAGCCCCTGATAGGCTGCAGGGGTATTTATCTCAAATTTATGGGGATTTCTTGGAAACAACTCTTTATCCCCCTTGAGAGCTGGAGAGCACACACCTCTTCTTTTCCTGCTCTTTCTAGGGAGCCCTGAGCTGCATGGAGTGCTCTGAGGGTGCTTTTCTGGGCTTCTAAAGGGAAATTCCATCAATCTGGTGATCTGTGGGCAGTGTCCATCCCTCGAGGGCCAGCAGAGCTTTCCTGCTGTGCTGGCCTGGGCTGTTCTGGCTCTCCCTGGGGTGGGACAGGGATTTCTGCTCTGTTTCTCTATAGGTGGCACATTTTCTTCTCCCAATTCCAGCGGAAGGAGCCCATGGGTATTTATGGGAGATATCTGTGGGGTTTGTAGTGCTGCTGCTTACGGGTTCTTCCCCCAGTCTCCAGCTGTATATATAAGAAAATAAAGATAGTGTAGAAAGTAATCTTGCCCCTAAGGAGTTGCAGCTGGGCCAATTATCAAAGATTAGGAGCAGGCCTGGCTTTAACAGGCCACAGGTGTAAGCAATGAGAAGAAGATGCTATAAAAGAGTGGGGTGGTGTTGGGAAGGGAGCTGGAGTCAGTGGCTGCTTCGTGAAGAGCAAAGAGTCAGTGCTCTGAGGAGCTGCCCAGGAGGAACACCAAGGTAGGGAACCTTTGTGATAGGAGACAACAGCATGGAACCCCTGCAATGGGATGACAACACCCAGTTTTCTAAGGTTCTAGAATTACAGTGGGATTTCAGCATTTTTCCCCATTTCAGCAGGTGGAAGCTCTGTCTGTGCCTGGGGAGTGCATTGGAAAACATTTGCAAGTTTCTCCTCCCTCCACATTTGCTGTAGTTGTTCCCCCTTGGTTGTGCACGGGAGGTGATGGGGCTGGGCTGCTCCCATGGGTGTCTTTTCTCTGCAGCCCTCAGAGAAATGCCTCATTGAAATTCTGTCTCTTCCTGGAATTATTCTGAGGGAAGCAGATGAGTGCTGTGGAAAAAGGTTCTCTTGTTCCCCAGAGAGATTTTATCCATTCAAAAGTTGGTCTAAACCAGGATCTAAATCTCAGATATCCTCTTATGCTGCTTAGTTCTGGGTCTCTATAAAATCTGAATTGATGCAGGTCTGACTTGGGGCCCAAATCCAACTCCTTCCCTCAAAGAAACAGTAATGGTGAGGCCACATTTGTGGGGATTGGCCTCTGGATTTCCCGGGATGAGACCACAGCAGTGGCTCCTTTCCTGCTCCCTGTAAAGTGGAGATTTCAGCAGAACCTTTCTGCATTATGGATCAAATCGAGAAACACTGAGGGGTATGAAACCATTGAATCTCAAACACATTTTTCATGGGGACTCTGAATAAACCAGAGAACTGGTTTGTTCCTTCAAGGAATCCAACTCCCACCTCGCTGCTGGGACCACTTGGTGTTGCTGCCACATCCCAGCTGCTCTGGTGTGAGGAGTCTGCAGCTCATGTCAGTATTTTTCAGGTCACAGCTCGGGATTGTAAGGCATTTTCCATCTTCACATACTAATTTCTGTGGAGTTACAAGATACCCTTTCATTAAGGAGGTTTGAATTATGTAATTCCCAATGTTTTCGATGGAATGCTGGCAGGAGCTGCATGCTGTGCTCTGAATGTGGAGTCCTGATCTGTGTGTGGCTGCAGCAGGAATCACTGATCCAGGGAGGTGCTGAGGGACCCTGTGGTCAGTGTTAACATCATGGGCTGGTAGGAAAATGTACAAGTTTGAACATTTATATATTTATTTTGGTGGTACTGCTTTCCCAGAGTTTCCAAGTTGCTTTGTGTTAACAGAAAATAAAGTGTCCCAAGTCTTGCAAGACTGAATGTGTTTTAAACCAGGACCTGGCCACGTTGAGCCCTTGGTAATTTGGTGTTTGTATGACCATTTCAAGGCACAGGCAGAGCAGTTGTGCAGTGCAGGGGCTCCTGTGCAGCACCATGAGCTCAGGACTGAGCCTTGTCCATGGTCAGCCCTGCAGGATCCCAGGAGGGACAAGGGCAGTGATGATACTTGGTGAAGTGATACATTTTCATCAGCTAAAGCAGAGGAAATGGGATGGCTAGATGTGTTTATTAATTATAATGTGGCTGTTGGAAGTGGAGTTGGGTTTAAATTGCAATGTTGGATTCCGTGCAGCAGGAACGTTGTGTGAGTGACCCGACCACGTACAGCCAGAGAGGCTGTGCTGGGCATCTCCCACTGGAGGGTTTGCTGCATTCTTAAGTGATTTGATAACAATTTCATTAAAAAAGGGTGCCATGTTCCTTGTGAAAATTACTTGGCTCACGTGTGGTCGCTGTTTCAGCGATGTTACGATGCTTTCTGTATGTTTATGTGTGAGCCAAGGAATGAACAAATCTGCTGTATGTGGGCCAGCAAGCAGCTGTAAATAGACCTTGAAAATGGTCTGTCAGTGTCCTGGGACTGATCTCTGTAGACTTTTTGGTGATTTTGATCATAGCTGTTGCCCAGAGAAGCGGCCGAGGCCGGGTTGGAGCAGCCTGGGCCAGTGGAAGGTGTCCCTGCCCATGAGGGGATGGAATGGGATGAACTTTGGGTCCTTCCAACTCAGACCATTCCGTGGTTCCCTGAGAGTCACTGCTGTCAGCAGGCAGCACTGCTGCAGTTCCAGACAATGCAGTTGGAAGTTCAGCTGTTTTCCCCCCACTTTATCTCCTATTGCTGTTGAAATGCTAATTAGTGATGTGACTGTTACTGTGGAGAAGAGGTGAGGGAGCAGGGGAATCCTGCTGGAAAAGGTGCTGTGCAAGCACTGCCATGTGCTCCACAGGGCTGCATCCCCATCAGGGATCCCTCAGTGCCCCAGGGCTCCTTGGCCTTGGAAGAGTCCACGAGATTGCCATGTGTCTGCATCTCCTTTACTCTTCTCAGAGAAAAATGCCAGAAAATTTCCATTTTGCTCATCTGGAGAAGTTTACCTGCTGTAGGATTCCTTTCTTTGAGTCAGGACCTTGGGCTTTCACATCTTCCTCTGGGTTTTGGGGTTTATTTTGGCCTGTTCTTTTCGCTGAGGTTCCCAAGAGCTCCCTGAGCCCAGCTGGAAGCAGCTCTGCCCTGGATGCAGCTGCGTTGCTCATCTGGACATCTTCCCTTTGGCTTCTCCTCGGGAGTGAAAGTTTCCCAAAACAAACAAGGCTCTCCCAGGGTTCCTGATCTCCTCCACTGTGTGTCAGTCCCAGCTGGCCTCAGAGCCTCTCCTGGATGGTTTTTGGGAGGAACCATCCCCTTGGAAAGCAGCTGTCCAAATCCAGTACATCAGGGAGGTTGTTTGTGAGGTGGCGAGCGGTGGTAAAGCATAAAACTGTCACGAGCTCTGAGAGGGAAGAAATTCAGATTTTCTCAGTGTAACAGGAGCAGGGGTGGTCACTGTGCCCCTCAGTGTGGTCTGCAGTGCTCGGAGGTTGGATGGAATGGGGGTTTTGGGGGATTTGGCATGAGCAGGGCGTGGAGCTGGCAGCTCACCCTTTCACCAGTTTGAGCGGACCAGAATAACATCACTGGGACTGGGGAAGGCCCGGTACTCCCAGGGCCTCAGGGTGCTCATTTCCATCCCTGTGGGTCCCTCCCCATCCCACTGGGCTCCTCCAGCTTGGGAGCAGTGAGGAGTGCAGGTTCTGGGCTAGGAACCTGCCAGGCCTTTCATGTGTGCCAGTTAATGAGTGTAATTCCCCTTTGCCTTGGGTGCTGAGAGCTCCTGCTGGTTCCTGCCCTGCATCAGAAACTCCACTTTGGGAGCTGGAAAAACATCCTTGAAAGTACAGCAAGAGCTGGTCAGAGAAACCCCAAAAAAACAACTTAGGGCTTTGTAATAGATCCACTGCTATTGAGAGCAAAGGTGTGCTTGGAGAGAGAGTGCTTGTGCCATGGGTAATTCCATGGGGGTTGTTGGGAAGGTGAATTCCTGGCTCAGGAGCTCCTTCTGGGCCTGCCTGTCTCTGGGTTTGGGGGTGACAGCCCCTCATTTGTAAATAAAATGCCTCTAAGCCCACCCAGATGGTTCCAGGAACCTTGAAGCAGGTGATTTTTTTTAAAAAAAGCTATTATCAGAAAGTTATGGAAGAAGGTGGATGCTTGGCTGAGCTTCCAGTCTTTCCTTTATTCCTGTGTTTGTGCAGAGTGGTTATCAGGAAGTTTATCTGTGGATTAGGCAAGGGTTTGTACTTGGTAACCTTCATGTACTCAAATCCCGTGTGCGTGTTGTGAATAAAATTCACTTGTTTTAATTTTCTAATGAACAAATTCCCATGTTTTTCAGATTACACTGCGTTTTTGGGACGCACCTCTGTTGGATTTTAATATATGTCCTGTGAAGAACAGCTTTCAGCTATGGAATCGGTAAATATTGACTTTGCTTCTGTCCAAAATTTCTGGTTTATTCCCTCACGAGTGCTCGTGTCTCTGTTGGACTGTTTGGTTTTGCCTTTTTCAAATGTTTTTCTTTATTTTCTGAAATTTGAAAGCAAAAAATTGCAAGTTCTATGGCATATATAAAAGGTACTAACCGAGAATATTTTGGGAGTTGTCTGTAGTCCTGAGATGTCTTTTTAATTTTAGAAAATTTTGAATATAGCAAGTTTTTCTCTGACCTCAGTGAAATAAAAGTGAACTTTCCTGCGTGGGCAGTTCCAGCACAGGTTTGCCCAGCAGACTGTGCAGCTTGTTGGTACTGCTGAGTATTAAATAATACCTCTTTCTTTCTCTTTGCTTTCAAAATGCCTTGAAAAAAAACCCAAAGTCTCTTAAGTTTCCCAGTGTTATGTCTCCTTGTGATTAGCCTAATTGAAACAGATGGCACCTACGTTTCATTTTGGGCAGAGAAACCTCCCAATCTGCTGAGACTACAGTTAGATGCAGTGTTAGGATTCAACTTTTTGGAAGCATTAACAGATGCAGAAATAACAGGCTGTGGTAGAGTGGAGTTTAGGGGGAAAAATGAGATTTTTGGCCTCTCTTTTGTGCGAGCGGGTGGGAGAGGCTGGTGCTGCCCTGGAAATGCTGGTGGTGTGGCTGGAGCTGGAGCCAGGGAACTGTTCTGGCTGGGTGTTTTTGCTGTGGTTTGGTTTGGTGAGGTGGGAAAGGAGCAGGAGGCTGTTCTGGTTGGGTTTTTGGGTTTTTTGCTATGCTGGTGATTTGGTGTGGTGGGAGATGAGCAGGGGGCTGTTCTGGCTGGGTTTTTGGGTTGTTTTGCTGTGCTGGTGATTTGGTGTGGTGGGAGAGGAGCAAGAGGCTGTTCTGGCTGTGTTGGTTTGCTGTGGTGGGAGCTGAGCAGGAGGCTGTTCTGGTTGGGTTTTTGGGTTTTTTGCTGTGGTTTGGTTTGGTGAGGTGGGAGATGAGCAGGAGGCTGTTCTGGTTGGGTTTGTTTGGTTTGGTGTGGTGGGAGCTGAGCAGGGGTCTGTTCTGGTTGGGTTTGTTTGGTTTGGTGTGGTGGGAGCTGAG